AAAATCAACCCTGCGTGCCAGGGCCGCGCCCCGCAGCCCCCCCTCCTCACCGTCTTGTCCCAGGAGCATGATGCCAGTATGGGCTGGCTGGGGCTGAAGGCCAGGCCGCACACAGGGCCCTCGTGGCCGGCCAGGATGTCCAGCAGGCGGCCAGTCTTCACGCTCCACACGCAGATCTGGGGGGAGGGGCAGGGTAGTGCGTGCACTGATATGTGAGTGCGTGCGTGCAGGCCGGGCTAGTGTGTGCATGTGTGTGTGTGTGTGTGTGTGTGTGTGTGTGTGCTTGTGTGGGCGCATACGTGTGCTTTTTGAAATGAAAGCAGTGCGTTTTCTGACCCACCACCATCATCCCCTCGCTAGAATGCAAGCGATGCACTTTCAAACACGCCCGTCGTCTGCGAAGAAACCCGGGCCTGCGGCCCCAACACCTCATAAAACCTCCATGCTTGTAAACCCTGCGCCCTCACAAACCCTGCACCCCCGTTGACCCTCCCCTCCCCAACAAACCCTGCCCCCCTGCCGCCCCCCACCTGGAAGCCGTCCAGGGTGCCCGCACACGCGACCTCGCCCCCCGGGTCCACCGCCAGGGACAGGAACTGCTGCGGCGACGGCGTAGTCAGCGTCCGGAAGTTGCGGTACCGCACCAAGTCAAACGCGCGCACGGTGCCGTCCTGTGGGGTTGTGTTTTGTGTGTGTCATGTGTGTGTGTGTGTGTGTGTGTGTATGTTGGTAGGTGTTTTGTGGAAGGTGTTTTGTTAGGGTGTTGTGGGGTCTTTGAGGGGGGCAGAGGGGGTTGCGGGCGTTGGTGAGTGTGAGGGGACTGATTGAGGGGTGTGTGGCGGTAAACTAGTGTCTCCTGGTGCATTGATGCGTGATGTGAGGGGCTGCCAGGCGGGATCTTTTGAGCGAAGCGTTGCTAGGTGATTCAGAAGCGTGGCGCAGGCGGGGACGCAACGACAGCGTGGGTTGGGCGCGGCCGCAGCGGGTCGGTCGAGCCCACGGCATGGGTGCGCTGGTCGCGGCCCTGGCTTGAGGACACAGAAGCAAGCAAGACAGCTGGACCGACCCCGGGCGGGCTCCTTCGCATTCGCACAGTTGAAACGAGGCAGTGCGTGACAAGAGGGCAACTAGCTCGGCTGCCGCAGGCCATTGGGGCCAATGTTTGACCGCTCAATGCTTGACCCCCCACCAGTGAGGCGCTGAGCACGGCGTGGCCGCTGGGCAGGAAGCGCACAGCCGTGACGGGGGCGGCGTGGTCGGTGAACGTCACGTAGCAGAACCCGCTGCTGAGCTGGAACAGCTTGACCTGGCGGTTGTGGTCACGTTGACAGGGTTCAGGGTGGAGGGATTGGGGAGCGTGGGGCGTGCGGCCGCACGTGAGTGCGTACGCGTGCGCCGGCAGGCGAGGAAGGTGCGGCGAGCAGGGGCCGAGGACAAACGGGGCCGGGGGCTGGCGGCGGGACCGCCAACCCCTGCACCCGCAGACCAAGGCCACCAGAGCCGGGGCTCCCGAGCGCACGCCTCTCTGAGTCCCTGGCCCCGTATTTCCCCTGCGCACCTTGGAGTCGTCTGCGCCGGTGGCCAGGAGGGCGCCGTCCGGGCTGTAGCTGGCGGCTGAGACGTCGAAGTAATGGCCCTGGGGTGGGGTCGGCGGCCGGGACCGGGAGGCGTGTTATGTGGAATGGGCGCCGTGTGGAGCTACTGTTGCCGAAGCTGTAGGCATGCAGGAGACCGAGGTGTGTCAGTCGCAAGACGCCGCTGCGCCAGGCGGGGGCGTGCCACGTTGTTCCTGAGGCATGGCCAGGCTGCAAACCCCTCGCTGGCCAGCCTTGCTGAAGGCACGCCTGAATCAGCACATTTGCCATGGCGCCGCGTTGACACTAACGTGCACCCGTGCATTCATGCACGCACGTACGCGCGCGCACACACACACACATACACATACACACATACACATATGCACACTGGTGCACACTGGTGCGCACACACATACAACCAAATACACACACACCACACACCACACACCACACATACGCGCACTCTCCTCCCCACCTGCTGCTTGAGCACGTACGTCTCACTGCGCCACTCCCACACCAGCAGCTGCCCCAGCGCCGCGCACCCAAGCGCCAGCCAGTCCCCGTTGGCGTTGAACGCGGCGGCCGTCAGGCGCTCGCGGCTGACGCTCAGCGTGTGGATGGAGGAAGCTTCCGGCAGCTGCAGCATCTCGAAGATCCCGTGGCTGAACCCCGCCACCAGGACGCCCGTGGCGCTGTGTGGGGTTTTGGGAGCAGCAGAGAGGAATCCACAATGAGTGGTGCGAGCGGGGGGCAGGGGGGAGGGCGGTCAGGCGGCGGGAGAGCGGTGGACTGATGGGGAGGGGGTGCAACGGTGGGGTCGGGCGCAGCAGACTGTTGACAGTATGCGCAGAGCTGCAGGCTGCCGGTGGTTGGTTGAGCACCACGGCAAGCTTTGACCGGCAGTGAAAGACAGGCATGCGGCGTGCACGACCCGTGGGCAGGAGGACAATGGAACCGCTGCCCTCCCTTTCCCCCATGGCCCCAGCCCGCACCGGTGGAAGTCCGCGCAGCTGAGCTTGGCGCCGCGCTGCATGAAGTAGTGCTTGAAAGCCACGCCCCACACGCCCCGCGCCAGCTCAGGCACCTCGTCCTCCTCCTCCTCCTCCTCGTCAGACGCCCCTGCATCGTCCTCCTCAGCATCCTCGTCGTCCTCGTCAGCGTCCCCGTCATCCGCCGCCCCTTTCCTCGCCTTTGACTTTGACTGCGCCCGCCGTCGCGCCGCCGCGGCGGCCGCCGCCTTCGCGGCCAGCCTCCCCGCCCGCACACGCGCCGCGGCCGCCGCGGCAGTCGCGGCCGCGGCCGCGGAGCGGTCGTGGTGCCAGCCGAAAAGGGCGCCGTCGCGGCTGATTGTGTAGAGGTGGATGGGCGGCTGGCCGGCGAGGGCGGCGGCAGACTGGGTGGCTTCGGAAGTGAAATAGACACCCATCAGCCCGTCCTTGTGGCCGGCAAGGATGGGGGGCACGTAGCCTGGGATGGGGTTCAGAGAGAAAACCCGCGCCTGCACATGGGGCGGGTTGGTCGCGGCCGGGGCGGGTTCGGCTCAGGCAGGCGGGGCCCGCGGGCGGCGGAACGAGCGTGGGACCGCTGATCAAGGGCGGCTCGTCGGAGAACTCCGGAACTCCGGCAGCGGGCCGGCACTAGGGCATGGGAACCAACCGGTCTAAGGCTGCCTGTCCAACTGCTTACCGTGAGATCCTTGGAGGCCACCGCTATGAACTTCCCGCACGGCGACCAGTCCAGGCTGGTGATGTCATCGTGGCAGCCGCCGTAGGTGCGGTGCAGCTGCATGGGCGCCATGCTCTTGGCCGTGCTGGGCGTGTGCCAGACCTGGCGGGTGACAGGGGGGGGGGGTCGTTGGCGGTGGCGCAGAGCATGAAGCGCCGTCAGCCCCACCCCACGACGATGGACGCTCGCCTGCACACCCCGCCGGCAGCCGGCATCGGCCAGTGCCCGCCCCAGCACTCAACGCCTTGGCCGGTCGCCGGGAAGGCAAAGCGCCCGGATCCTCCCGAGCAGCTGCCGGGCAGGCCCACCTGCAGCAGCTTCCCGACGCTGACCGCCACCATCGCCCCATCAGGGCTGAATTTCGCAGCCCTGACGGCCGCCTTGAAAGACACATGGTGCAGCAGCACGCGCCGCTGCCTGTGCACTACGAGGGCGCGGCCGTCCTGGTCAATCGACAGCAGCAGGGCGCCGTCGGGTGACAGGCACAGGGTGCGGATCTGGGGGCGAACGACGCAGCAGGGGCGAGCCGCGGAGGGGCGGAGGGGGTTGGGGACTGGAGGCCGAAGGCTGGCCGGGAGGGTCAGGGTTGGGAGGGTTGCGGGCTGCCGCGCAAGGGCCTGCGAGGCACGAGCCGTGGCTGCAGCCGATGACTTGCGCCTAGCGCTCGCGGCGCCGCGGCTGCTGGGGCGGCAGCCGCCCGGCTGCGGCTGCTCGCCACGACACAGCCACTACCGGTGAGCAGGGAAGCTGCCGCGCACCTGCTTCAGGTTTTCAAACGGCAGGGTCTGGCTGGTGGAGTGCGCCAGGTTGATCTGAGGGATGAGTCGGCGAAACGGGCGCGCGTGCAGGGTGCGTTGACGCACACCACAGCTCTCTACTGCGTGGCGAGCGCAAAGATTTGCTGCTCGTGGTGCGCCGCCGGTGCCGAGCCGCCTGCCCACAGCATGCGACGCAGCACGGCCGGCGCACGTCGAATGCGAAAGAGGCTTCTTCAGACATGCCCAGCTGATGCGGCGTTACTGGAACCCTGGGCAGAGCTGTTACTGCGATGCAGGCGTCCCTATTGCTGCCATACAGGCGAGCGTGTTGCTCACCTGAGACACCCGGTTGCCGACAGGCGACAGCAGCTCCGGCCCATGCAGCAGAAGGTTCCCGCCGCGATAGGGCGCCCCCAGGAGATTCGCAAACTGGTAGTTCATCCTGTCCGGCCTGGACCCGGCCCGCGGCTGCGCGCCGCGGCGGGCAAGGCGGCGGCGGCGGCGGCGGCGGCAGCAGCGGCGCAGCACAAGCAGCGGTGGCCTTGGCGGCGATGATGGTGCAGCACGTCTCCTGTAGCGCGCAAACTGGTAGAAGCACCGTATGTATTGATATGCTATTTGTTGCGCTTTTTCTCCAAAGGACCTCTTGAACGCGATCTGCGCCGTCAGCCACTGAGCCCAGCGCGTGCGAACCAGGCAAGTTTCTGACAAATCACGATCGCTGTTCCCTTAATTTCACGATACGGTAGCAGTGCGACTTGTCCGCGTCACTGCCGCTTTGCGAGTGCCGCAGCTGCTCCCCGCGCCGAGGGCACTCGCACAGGTGCTCGACAGCACGTCTCGCGGGCGCTTGGCACGACAGAAATGCCACGTGAGTATGAGCACAGCATGCATATTGCTTACGCCCGCAGCCGGTGGCAGCAGCAGGCAAGCAAGCAGTAGTCCCGGTCGGTCAACAAGACCCCTTGCAACGCTGACCACCTCACCGCAAGCAAGGCAGCCATCTCAAAGCTGCGGGGCCAGGGCCTGGCACGGGAACTAGATGGACCAGAGCAGGAGGCCGATGCCGATGAGTAATATGCAGCGTTGGGAATCTGACCTGCGGGCGTTGACCAAGACGCAGTGGCGTCGGCAGCGGCTGCGGGAGAGCATGACCCGGAGGATGCGGGCGGAGAGGGGGGGGAGCTGCGCACCACTGGCGCTGTGGCTTGCCAAACTGTACGCCCCACGCTTGAAGGCGCGCTGCGCATCTGGCACCACGCGTGACTTGGTGGTGCGGCGGCTGCAGGCCGCAACGGTCAGTGGTGCAGGCGGGCGGCGGGGAGGCAGCGCCGGCGCAGACGCCGCTGCGTGGGGCGGTCGAACACAGATTACAAACGGCCACACGGGCGCAGCGGCGCAGCGGGCCAACGAAATATTGACCGCGAAGAGGGCGCGCGAGCACTTTTGCAGGTGCGCTACTTGTGTGTGATGGGCCATCACTGCTGCAGCATCCAATCACAACCGCACCAACTTCTGGGTGCTTTGAACACCGCAAGGCATGAAGAAATGGAGGCGTCTCGAGCTGGCATGTCCCCAGGGGATCAGATCCACTTGTCACTGAGGTGGAGCGTGAGCGTTGACCTGCTGTTGCGCAACAGCAGCGGGAGGCCGCCCACTGGCCCTGTGGCGGCCGGCACTCCCCGCTCGCCACGCCTTGCCCGCCTGATAGAGCCCCCGGCGCGCGTTCCCGGACACGGGCGGGGCCCTAGCCAGGAGCGTGCGGCGAGTGCGATGGTGCGGCGCTGTCACAGAGACGGTCTCGGTCGGGATTCCGGCGCCAAAGTTGTGCATGTATGGGACGTGTTGTAGGTACTGTAGATGTATGTGGGATTGAGTGTTTGAATGAATAATTGAAGAGGTGTGTGGGCAGTGAAGGCTTCTGGACGGAAAGAGTCAGAGACAGGGCGGGGTGGGCGCGGCACCGCAGCGCACTGCAGCAAGCGCTGCGCCGCTGTCTGCAGCGCCGCCGCGCCGGTCAAACCTGGGTCAAACCCCCTGTCCTAGTATCATATGTGATCATCACGCGTCATGCAGTCGCCACGGCAAGGCCCAGATCGGTCTTATTGATCCATGAGCTTGTCCGAAGCGGCCTTCCGAGCGACCTTCCAGCAGAAACGTACGTCTGCCCCTCGCAATTCCGCGGCAGGACTACAAAAGACGCAGTACTCATGCATTTTATTCATTATCGATCATTTCTACACAATCACCAACACATACGTGTACAACCGTTCGCTCAACCTTTCGTGTTGTTGATCTCATCAACGCACAGACGATCGTCAAGCAACAGCGGGCAACACCTACACGACTACCGACTACGTCTTCACTACGCCGCGCCTGGGTCGTTGACTGCACCTCACGCCCCAGTCGCGGCAGCCTGCTGCGGCGCACCCGCTAGTATGTGCTCTGCACAGAACGCAGCTGCGTCGCCTCGCCGGCACAGCGACACGCCCGCTAGTATGTGCTCTGCACAGAACGCAGCTGTGGCGCTTTGCCGCCAAGCAGGCCAGGGCGGCGCACCCGCTAGTATGTGCTCCGCACAGAACGCAGCTGAGCCGCTCTGCCGCCGCCAGGGCTTCACACCCGCTAGTATGTGCTCTGCACAGAACGCAGCTGTGCCGCTCTGCCGCGGCGCAGGCCAGGGAAACGCACCCGCTAGTATGTGCTCCGCACAGAACGCAGCTGTGCGGCTCTGCCGCCGCCAGGGCTGCACACCCGCTAGCATGTGCTCTGCACAGAACGCAGCTGTGCCGCTCTGCCGCGGCGCAGGCCTGGGCAACGCACCCGCTAGTATGTGCTCTGCACAGAACGCAGCTGCGCGGCCAACCGGTGCACGTGGGAGCCTGTTGGGCGCTGGCGCCACCAAGGGTGGGCCAGCTGCCTAGTAGGTGGTTGTGGGGATCAGGAGTGCGGAGGTCACAACCTTAAATCCCTTCAAGGGAACCTGATCGATACCTGGAGAGGAGGCATGCGCAGCCCCGGTCCAGCTCTGCTGCAGAGAGGTGAGTCGGGGGCCTTGCTTGGGGGTTTTCTGTTTCCAAATCAGCAGCGTTCAAAGCGCTGGCTTGTTTGGTCTGCCACACCTGGCTGCCACAACAGAGCACGCATGTCATTGGCGTGCTTGCCGAGATTGCCACGTCCTCCTCTTTTGCCTGGACTTACTGCTATATCAGGGGCCCATGCGAGCTGTGAGATTGACTGCCTTTTGATTGTCGTGTATGTTCAGCAGCTGCCGACACATATAATCAGGCAAATGTGTTCCCTCCATTGTGACCCATGCCTGGAGAGACATTGCATCAGTGATCACTCGTGCTCGATTCAACCTCATGCCCCACACAAGGATTCAATATGCCCACGCAGGCGGCGGTCTGGCTGATCAGCTGATGCTACTGATCTGTTGCAGAAAGGCAAGCCGGGACCGAGCTGCAAAGCAGTGTTCTGTCTAGCGAAGGTCGAATCTTACACACCTTAGTCACCCAAGTAAGCCCAATCCATGTAACCCAGCAGCGACTAAGCCAGGCATGCGTCCTGCTGTGTGAAACGTCAACAACTTCGTCACTGGAACCCCGAACCTGCCGCGAGCCACGCCCCCTCCCCCCCGACACTTGAAACTGGTCACCTGCACGAAATGTACAGTTACGGCCCCTCCTCCGAGGCGCACGCCTACAGCGTGCGGCCCATGCCGCCGACCC